TTTTACGAAATTTTTTCACAGATTATAAACAATTTTAAATCTATTATTTTTTTCTACACCTAAATACTTTCTCAATGCATGACGTGCGTTATTCCTACTTTTGAATCGAATGCGCGCACAAATTCAAATAATGTATGTCAATGACCCTCATTTACACGTTTATTATTCTTGTTGTTAATTCAAGCGGATATCCGTTATATTTATCGTATCTGATATTTATATCCTTCCTTACTAATATTATAAATGCGAAAGTAACTCTGTCTGTCTGTCTGTCTGTCTGTCTCGCTTTCACGCCAAAACTACTGAACTGATTTAAATGAAATTTGGTACCCATATAGTCTAGACGCCGAGGAAGGACATAGGCTACTTTTTAATGCGAAAAAAGGGTTGTAAGGGGTTGAAAATGGTAATGCAAGGTTATCTTTTTGCGGTTGAATACACACTTATTATAATAATGGCTTAACTAAAAAATTAGATATTTTGGAAAGTCTACTTTATAATTGTGTTATTAAGTCTATTTTCAAAAATTTTTAATTTCTGAATTACACCAGTATTGTACTAGATATGGGACTTATTAACGCTCATATGTCATAAATAAACATATATGTCATTTGTATAAGCAGCGCGCATGCGTTGCGTTGCGCGCGCAACTAATTATTGTCAATCCGTTGTCTCCTTATGAATTTAAATGAATAAACGTTTGCTCTGCAATTTTATTTTATAAATACATAAATATAATCCTGGTATAGCCTATAACTGATGACCCTGCTCTTGGACAAGAGCGTAAGAACATATTATTAATATTTTTGAAGAATAAAACAACATATAATATTAAAAATGTTGTCAATACATATGAACAACATTTCCTTGGAAGAAACAACATCTACCGTTCCATCCGAGCTATTCAGGTTCGGAATACGCGTTTCTCCATTCTGGCCAGTAGAGTCAAAGATATGGTTCGCGCAAGTAGAGGGATAGTTTGCAATTTAGAATATCACATCTATTATTTTGATTTAACAAAATTTTATTATGTTATTGGCCAACTGGACCACCAATTTTCAAAAGAATTTAAAGAAATGTTTAAACTGTCTATTAAATATAAATAAATATGACATTTAAATTCGTAAATATCACATTGTCACCATTCAAGGGGTAAAATAAAATAGTAGATAAAAGTTTTTATGGAAATTCGTCATATTTGAAGCTAGAACGATGAAGTTTTTTTCTTACGCTTTTTTGGGTCAGTTTATTTAATAAATACCTTACTAATATTATGAAAGTGAAAGTGACTCTGTCTGTCTGTCTTAAAAGCCAAAACTTCTGAACTGATTTAAATGAAATTTAAAGTCTATATCTTGAGATAGGACATAGGTTACTTTTTAATGCTAAAAAGGGTTATAAGAGACTGAAAGAGGAATATTTTAAAAGTTTAAGCTTCAATCTTATTTTTTTGCGTATTGATTAAATATAATTAACGAAAATGGGTTGTAAGGGTCAAAAGGGGAGTTAAAATGTTGTATGCATGTATTGTCATTTTTTAAAGCTAGAAACTTGAAACCCATTTTTTAGGCTGTTGAGAAAATATCAGTACCTACCGCTACAGGACTCAGCCATAAATGGTTACAGTATAGCGACATCTTATCATTGGTACATGATGACACTAATATAAGTAGCATTAAAAAAAACAAGAAAAAGGGTTATAAGGGGTTGAAAGGGGAGATGTAATGTATGTATGGTATGTATGGAAGTATCTTCATTTTAAAGATAGTAGTTTGAAACTTAGTTTTTGGCTGTTGATTGAATTGTATGGAAATTTCATTTTTGAAGCTAGAACGATGAAACGTTTTTTATTGGGTTAGATTATTAATATATATTTTTTATTATTTGCTCAAGGTCACTGTTTTACGCGGACGAAGTCGCGGGTACAGCTAGTATTACTTATATACGTAATATCAGTACTTGAGATGCAGAAAAATATAAACCACTTTTATCTAAAGATCTGGAATAAAGGCTAACTTTTATTACCGTATGATTATGAGATACTCTGTATTAATGTTTCAGATTACACAACTTTTAAAACTATAATGTTCGATACGATGAACAACGTATTAACTATTTGTTTAAATAGCGGCAACTTTGCTAACTATGTTGGTTGAAAGCTAATCGTAAGCCTGAATAAAAGATGTAAAGAGGGTTAGAAATTAGACAAGTTTTCTTTGAGAATCTTAAATGTTACGATATAAAACAATGAAGAACTTAATAAAATGCTGCCTTGCTGTTGTGAGGTGACCTTCAGTCTCTAGAAACACTGTAATGACTACCTTCAAGTCTTTTTCTTGTAATGGGAATGGCAAAATTGGCGGTCATTTGGCTCAGGGGAACTATACATATACATCACGGTGTCTTAATGTGCTTTTCTCGAGTCACCGTAGTAGGTGTCACACTTCAGTACAGTATAATTACATTAGCATAACTCATTCTTCAAACTGAACTCACGACATGACAGTATGAACCGTTAGCGGAAACGGTAGCACCATTCCATTATCATCCATTAAAAAAAAAAGACTGAAACAAAGCAAGCTGCTTGTCAGAGACGAACTTTGAAATGAAGACGTCGTAGAATAAATTCAGATCTATTGTATAAACTTGATGAGATTCCAGAACCAATAAATTAATTTCTTCAATGATTTACTCCTGGCAGAATCACATTTATATCCGGAAAATTGAATTCACGGTCTATAATTTCGCTATAAAGTTAAATGAATTAATTGGGTTTCAAGGTAATAATTCAAATAATTTTTTTATAATAATATTTTAAGACTTAATTAATTAATTTCTGTAATTGATCATGCGTGTTATTTTCGTGTTGTTGATATTAATAAGTGACTCAAGTAACTATTTAAATATTACTTATGTCAATTTAGCTATTTGGCAATTTGTATTCATATAAAATTCTTAAAATGACAAAGAGCAAGCACTCAATTTTCTTGCTTATTGTTCTTGTGACGAGACTACGTTGCGAATGAGTGGTAGAATAAAAAATATGACTATTCAAAAATGCTTATATTAAGTGTATTTTGAAAAATATTATTTCTATTTCTATTGCTATATTATGTACTTTATAAATGACTGACTGTTAAGTTTGCTAAGTACCTATGTAGGTACATATATGTACATTTTATTAGATAAAATATTTAAGGGTTATTAGATAATATTTAAGGGTATAGAACAAAATTTTAAATAAATACATTTCCTATTATTGTACTGTACTGTATTCTGGTATTCTTGCATACTAACAAGGCAATAAAATATACTTACATGGACATTTACTGCAGGAAGTAGTCAATAGACAGAAAAATATAATGGAATAAATAGAGCGAACAAAAAAAACCTAATATAAATTTAGAACTACATATTTTGGATAGTATGTTATTAATCCTTTTTTTTAATATAAAAAAAATAATGGGAACTTTAAACCTATTAAATACAATAACAAGTTTTAATCATATTTTGAAAGTTGTTTTTCCTATGAAATTACATTAATGAACGTCTATAAACAAATTATTTGTAACTTTTCATGTTGCAACTTCAGCAGTTTTGACAAGGCGATGATGGATGGATGTTATGAAATGGATCATAGTCTTATAAACATCAATTTTGGTCTAAAGTACCTACTGCGGCTGATTATTAAAATTCCCTCCCGACTCATTTTGTTTATGTACGTTGTTTAAGTGATTAGTTGGAAGTTCTTTTTTATGTAAGAATGGCTTACACAAGTAGTTAAAATGTCCTCCAAAGTTTTTTTCAATAAATACTTTCAAGTAAGATTACGAATTCAGAAAATCCATACTTTTAGACTAAAATATAAATGCGATGTTATTAGAAAGTTTATTTATTTTAATACATCCCACGCGAACGATGTCGCGGGTAATGGTTAGTTATTTTTCGTACTACTCTATTGCTGTTGGCCGCAGCTGGCCTTTACAGCTTCACCGGATGATAGGGGGCGAGTGCAGTTGACACTCCAAACACGCGGACTTATGGAGCGGCTGAAGGCCTACTCCCGCCTGACAGATACGACTTTAGTCTGAGGGCAGCGCTATGGGATTGAACATCGGCTTAGGCCGTCGTAATTTCGATTCCCGTTTAAATTAAGCAGGGGATCAATCGGAGATGGAATAGTTAGTAAATACATAACGCTCATTTAGAAATACTAAGGTAGAGAGTAAAAAGTCATGTACTAAGTGAGTTTATGCATTTGTGTTAAATTAAATAATGTAATTGCCGCTTGAGTGACTCCAGGTAATTATTGTTCGGCGCGAAGTTTTCGTGTTTATCGCTGCAATCCATTCGCAAACTTTTGATATCCACTCCGCTTTTAACAACTCACTGTGTACAGTTATTTGCAAACTCATTCTATTAGGGTGATTGCAGTTAAAACCAGTGCCTGATGGAGAAAACAGCTCCTCTGAAATAATTTTTTTGAAAAATTTGAAAGAATTTTTCATGTGAATTACATGATAGTGTGCCTGATGAGTCGCACATGTGACCCATCCTGGTCTCACCTGGTATCTACCGTAATCAATTACCATTTGCCAAGGTGAACTGACTTGACTTCATCCTCAATTTATCATCCTCCACTGGTGCCCCGGTAGCATAGACCGTTGGTGCAGGCTGGTTCATCATTCCACTGTCATCCATAAAAAATATGTAAATTGTATTGGTTTTATAACACTCATTATGTATATTGAATAAAATATTTGCGCGTGTGAGAAACTAGCCTTAAAAATTTACAATATTAAAACCATGGAACCGTATGCAATAGTCAACTATGACAATAACATTTTTACTATACTTTAGTCTGCAATAAAACAGGTAAATATAAATTATATAGCGTGCTGTTGTTCCAGAAATATGACACGTCATCACTCGTTTACGTCAACATTCACGGCGACAATAAAACGACTTTAAGTGTTTCATACACTTTATTGCTTCACGGATATTATTCTCCATAAAATCTCAAACAACCACGTTTATAACGACGAAACGAGCGGCGGCCCCGCGGGACAGGGACGCCTGTAGACTATACGAGGCACTGAGAGATAGGAATCACAGATTGACAGAGCTTAGAAGATAGACGACACTAATAGAGGAAACTGGAGGGGGGCGGACGAGGCGAGGGCGCGGGCCTAGCGAGTCGAGGGTGGAACGCACCCAGCGCCGCTTCGTTAGTCGAGGAAGGCCTTTCTTCGCGCACCCTTATCTGTGGCAGACGCCATGCAGCACAAGCGGACGTTAACGCATGTCGATTCAGCACCCAGTAAGCGACTGCGTTCAAAGCCGAGTGAGCATAACCGAAGAGCAGCGCGTATTGCCTTAACAGGAACGGTGCGTGGAGTCCGAAGGCGCTGCATATCACTATTGCCGCGTGAGGACACCAGCACGCAGCGAAAATAGCAGCTATACCCATGAGCACGTTGCCGAGACGTCGTCGGGACCGTAGCGTTGACGTTTGCGGTTGTGGTCCGAGAAGACTCGGCTGAAGTTTCTTCTTCCCTCTGACGTCACCTACGTCGACAGCGTCACGGCGTTCTCTGGGCCCCACGCCGGCCACTATGATCACGTGGGTGGGCCGCCGCATTAAAGGAACTGGCAGTGGTAGCTCGCCGTGTGCAGCCCGCGCTGTGAGGGATAGAGCGGTCAGTTTGACGCGGACTGCCCAATGGCACCTCGCCACTGCTATTACTGGGAAGCAGTAGGTTAGTAGCGCGTGGAGAGCGGCCAGGGGCGGACACGATACGCACATGGTGGTGACTGCAGTTCCACCTGTTGAAATAAAAGATACTTTATTTTTTTTATTAATAAGAACTATGGACATACATCACATAGGGCTATAACTTGTGTTATGTATTACCCATACGGATAATAATACTACAAATACAGTTTTTGATGACAATTGCATATATAAATACATACTGCCAGATCAATTACAGTAGTTATCCGCCTAAAGACAAATATTTGTATTCCCTGGTAATCAAACTCGCCATTACGAGAAGGCGATATAGAAGAAGAGAAGGAGTATAATGTATTACTAATTAGTTCCACTTAAGTATGTATAAATTAAATTAAATAAGAACAAAAATACTAAGTAGAATATCGGTCTGTAATAGTTCTGTTATAGTCTATTTTATTTTCCCGCGCAAACAAAATTCACAATATCACACGGCGCGTAGCCATGTAGTAAGAGATAATAAAAAGGTAACATGATGAGTGTATCATAGCTGTATGAGCTTTAAATATTATTTAGTCTTTTTTATATTCGAATAATAAAAAAATATCAGTACTAACAGTATTGTCGGTTCGATGTTATTCGAAAATTGAATTTTTAACCTTGTTTAGTTACTATTCTCTAATGAAGAGTTGCCCATTTAAAAACATTTTCAATATTGAAATTATTATTTATAAACTACTAGCAGACCTGGCCACACGTTGCTGTGGCTAAGGTTCTTGAACAAAATAATATTGCGACTATAATATGAGATTATACAGGTTGCGAACACTGATTAGGTTTATTGTTTTTTTTTTCCAATAGCATATGCTGGTGGTCACTCTATTATATACACTGTATTATTGTAAATATGTACAACTGTTAAAAAAAAATACGACTTGAGTTTCTTGTCAGTTCTTCTCATCTCGAAATCATTCCGAACTGACGGTAGATTTGACATATCTCATAATTTTTATTTTTTTTTTAATTTTGAAGATGTAAGTTATGCTATCTTTCAAGTTGGATCAAATTGCACACAATGTGCAAAACAAATTTGCAATCGGTTCAGTAGTTTATGAGTCCATCGCGGCCAAACAACGTGACACGTAATTTTTGTATATAAATGTTTAATTAAACGTTACAAAATAGCGGTCCTGTGTAACGGAAGGATGAATGATAGGTGATACCTACGACTCACCTATCTTGACTTACCCTTCAGTAATGTTGAACATTATTAATAAATGTAATTAATCAAAGAAATTGTAGTGGGCTCAACCCTTGCCATGTTAAATTGGAATATACCTTAAATGTGGGTAAAACGACTACATGATATTGGATTACAGACATTAGTCTGTCATAAATTACAGCTTGAAATCATGTACGTGATATTTTTAGTAGCTTACAGAAATAAAATAATAATAATATCCGTGAATAATTCACACAGTGCCATCTAGTCCCACGGTATGCAGAGTTTATACTATGGTTACTATATCACTGGTATATCTACTTAGATACATTTTTTTAAATACATATATAATATACATTGAAAATGCCCAAACCGATACAAACATGCTCATGAATACAACGCGCGAGGAATCGAACCCGCGGTGTGTTTAACCGCTAGACCACGGAGGCCGTCGTAATCTATACATATAAATAAAATTGGTGTTTGTTTGTAATATTGAAATAAATTTTTTCGTTTTTTACTACATGCCTATGAATATAAATACGGTACATACACCAATATAACATTTTTTACATTTTTTGTCTGTCTGTCTGTTTGTTTGTTCCGGCTAAGCTCTGAAATAGCTGGACCCATTTTGACGGGACTTTTTTTGGCAGGTTGATAATGTAATTTATTGATATGTAATATTATGTTATCTGTGGTATAGATAAGGAGTAACTTAGGCTAGTTTTATTTTAGAAAAATAAAGTTGAATTCCACGCGGACGAAGTCGCGGGAACAGCTAGTAAAATAATAATATTCTAACGCATGACTGATTCACATGTTAGGTATAATCTATTTTTTTTTCTCTTTATTTATTTAGGAGTTTCGGTTTTAGGATCACAATAATAAACATGTTAGCTCCGTTTTGGCTTCTAAATTAATTACACACTATTTTATTAACATTTAAACCATAGAGACAAACTTTAGATACAGATTTAAACTTATTTGTTTTTAAAATATATCTTGTATTTAGATACAATGTATTTGAATTGATAAAGTGTGACAAGCTACTAATTCCAAATCCTAAATTTAAAAAATATATATGACGTCGATAAAAACATACAATTTCTAGACATAATGTAAAATACAACATTTAAACTATTAATGAAAATCTTAATATTAGTTCCACTATATTTACAATTTATTAAAATATACAAACAATATATATACATACAATTTATGCCAATATGACATCACGGATGGGCGAGTCTGACAAATGTGACTAGCTGTGACGAGGTCCTTGTCACACTTGTAAGACTTTTGAGAAGTTTATAATAGTCTAAATTTATATTTCTGTTTAAAAATCGAGCTCTCGTAAATCTATAACTTCACATATTTGTGATCAAATAGTACATTACCTAAAACTAAAGTTGCAGTCCACGGCAACAACAGCGAGCAGGGGTCTGGCATAGAGCACCGTGCCGCGCCGCAGCGGTCCGCGGCGATGTAATGTATTTTATGAATGATAATTTCATGAAATTATTATTAGAACATTACCTAAAACTAAAGCTGTAATCCACACGGCGACAACAGCGAGCAGGGGTCTGGCACAGAGCGATCCATGTCCGCGTCGCACCGCGTCGCACGGTCCGGGGCGATGTAATGTATTTTATGAATGATAATTTCATGAAATTATTATTAGAACATTACCTAAAACTAAAGCTGTAATCCACACGGCGACAACAGCGAGCAGAGGTCTGGCACAGAGCGATCCGTGTCCGCGCCGCACCGCGTCGCACGGTCCGCGGCGATGTAATGTATTTTATGAATGATAATTTCATGAAATTATTATTAGAACATTACCTAAAATTAAAGCTGTAATCCACACGGCGACAACAGCGAGCAGAGGTCTGGCACAGAGCGATCCGTGTCCGCGCCGCACCGCGTCGCACGGTCCGCGGCGATGTAATGTATTTTATGAATTATAATTTCATGAAATTGTTATTAGAACATTACCTAAAACTAAAGCTGTAATCCACACGGCGACAACAGCGACCAGGGGTCTGGCACAGAGCGATCCGTGTCCGCGCCGCACCGTGCCGCGCCGCAGCGGTCCGCGGCGATATAATGTATTTTATGAATGATAATTTCATGAAATTATTATTAGAACATTACCTAAAACTAAAGCTGTAATCCACACGGCGACAACAGCGAGCAGGGGTCTGGCACAGAGCGATCCGTGTCCGCGCCGCACCGTGCCGCGCCGCAGCGGTCCGCGGCGATATAATGTATTTTATGAATGATAATTTCATGAAATTATTATTAGAACATTACCTAAAACTAAAGCTGTAATCCACACGGCGACAACAGCGAGCAGGGGTCTGGCACAGAGCGATTCGTGTCCGCGCCGCACCGCGCCGCACGGTCCGGGGCGATGTTATGTATTTTATGAATGATAATTTCATGAAATTATTATTAGAACATTACCTAAAACTAAAGCTGTAATCCACACGGCGACAACAGCGAGCAGGGGTCTGGCACAGAGCGATCCGTGTCCGCGCCGCACCGCGCCGCAACGATCCGCTGCGATCGCCACCAGCGATAGCGTGCTTGCGGCCACTGGGAACGACTGCCAAAGTAATATTTTTCTCACTTTCTTCTTTAACTACATGTTTTATTATAAAACTAAAGGTTATTTTGTAACATAAATTAATAAAATATGTATAAAGTATAAGTTTATATGACGGCCTCGGTGGTCTAGTGGTTTAGTACATCCGATGATCGCGGATTCAAATCCTCGCACAGTACAAATATTTGTATCAATGATTGTTTGTATTGGTCTGGGTGTTTTCATTTTTTAAATGATGATTAATTTTCCAAATTGCTCAATGACAATATAACAAACTTAGCGCCACATTTTCAACATTGCAGTTCCTGTTGGTCGTTGTATGATGTTATATAATAGAATAGAACAAAATACATAATTCTGTATTCAAATAAAGATACATTTAGGTACCCTTGACCAGTCATACTTATTATTTTAATGTATCACTCATTCGGAAAGCTTCATCATAAGATGAACGAGCATGAAATTTGTGTGTGTTTTAAATAATTATTGTAATTTTATATTTTTTATTGAAATATGTGAATACATAATTATTGTAGTTAAACATATTGGCCTGGTAAATATAATTATGAAAATATGGTTTTTAGGGAGAAACAATATAACTGTACGTACAAAAGTAAAACAGATAGCACAAGAATCGCAATGACATATAACATTTTTCTATATCAAAAATAGACAAAAAACGTAATGGACGAATAAGTAATATATAGAGTGATGCACCGTGCACTTTATTGTTTAATTCTTTTGTTTACTGTATGTCACAAATAAATTATATTCCATCTATCTACAAATACATACGCAAATCTTTCCCCTTTATAATACTACTTTACATTGATATACCTCTATGTAAAATATGACTGGACACGGCAGATGTTGAATCTTAGCGACCCGTGTAGCAGCTAGTGGTGCACTCGCTGCACACACGAGGAAATCCGCGGCGCATGAGCTGAGTAGCTGCGGAGTTCGAAGACGAGACGCGCCGCCTGACGCCAGTGCAGCCAATAAGCTTACATTTCCTATACAAAAAATAATACATCATTTATATATTTATTTATTTTAGAAACAGTGTAATTTTACATTTTTCTAACATTTATTTAAAACATTCAACAAGCAAGTTTCTTACTTATTCTCTCATTCAAAAATACTTATACGTATAGATATCAGAGATCCAATCTCTCTCTCTTACACACACACATGCATGTTTTTTGTATACATTTCAAATACAAGCAAAGGCTCTTTTTGTTTTTAACTTCATTGTGTTCTTTTTTGGTAAATTGTAATGTAATTTATTTGTAAATTTTCATTTTCATTTTCGTCAATATCGCAACACAGTTTTATACTTCTATGAATGTCATTGTTTCTTCAGAAATTTATATTTCTGTTTTAAATTTTTATTGTATTTTACCTTGTAAAGTCTGCGTTCCGAAGGAGATGTAGTATTGTCTTTATTAAAATGTCGACAGTTGACAATGCCTGTAATTACCCCATTTGGGATAAGACGTGAAGATATACATACACATGTCTCACCAATGATTCCCATAGCTGACACAAAAGTGTGCCACTAATGCGGCGACGCTGTACGCTGCGTACGTACGCTCCTCCGCTCCATTAATATTACCGTACATCACACCGCATCTTTATGTAGTTGAGTTGTCACCTATCGACGTTGTGGTGACCATAATACAATCAGAGGTATTGCCCTCTGATTACCCCATTTGGGATAAGCCGTGAAGATATACATACACATGTCTCACCAATGATTCCTATAGCTGACACGAGCGTGTGTAGTGCCACTAGTGCGGCGACACTGTGCGCTCGTGTCTCCTCCGCTCCCGTGCCCGCATCCGCGCCATTATCGCTAATATTGCTGTACATCACGCCGCATCTTTATGTACTGCGAACAAAAATACAGAATGATTTCTTTTGCATTTAGAAAAAAAGACAAACATTAAAGTTATGGAGACTTATGGAGTGACTGAACTCTTTCCTGACGGATATGTCTTTAATCTGACCGCTAGGGGTTCGAACCTCTGCTCAAGCCATCGTAATTTCGGCCCCCTATTTGAATTAGAAGGGAGATCGATCGGACGGGGAAGAGAGATGTGAGAAGCAGCATTCTTATGCACTGCAGTCAAATATTCAGGGCGCTTTTTTGTCTGTTTTTTAAGATATAAAATAGGTAATGCTTGTCATTGTGATACAATATAACTTGATGCGTTTTCATTGAGATACTTTCAGGCCTTTAATTGATATAAAGGTAATAAATAGACAGATATACATATATTGCCCTCCGATCCCCCGTCCAATTCAAACGGGAATTGAAATTAAAAAGGCCTGAGCCGAGGTTCGAATCCCTAGAGGTGCCCTCAGACTAGAGTCGTATCCGTCAGGCGAGAGTTGGCCCTCAGCCGTTCCATAAGTCATTCTACGGATTTGAAGTGCCATCTACACTCGCCCCTATCTTCCGGTGAAGCTGTAAATGCCAGCTGCGGCTAACAGCATTAGAGTAGTAAGAAAAAAAATCATATTTTCGTGTAGTTAGCATTAGTTACGATTTTAGTGGATCATAAAAAAATATCTTATTTTCATTGCACTGGTGATCGCAGTCATTCCAATTCCATAAAAACAAACGTTCGATCGCGTAATTTTTGATAATCACATCGTCAACATTTATTATAATAACAAATTTTATATAGAACATTTTATTACTTCGGGTCTATCTCATAAACTCAAGATGTGTACTAACATTTTATCTCGCCGGCTGTTTACTGACACCCGGTTCACTAATAAAAAAAAAATAAAGCGAACTAAACGTTATTAGACTACGAGATTAGTTTTCAACAGGGCTAGGAGACGTGATGTTCTGCAGACTAATTGTGGAGAAAATTAAAAAGCTAACCCTTGTTGGAGTGAGGCAAAGGAATGATACAAACGCAGCCATCTGTCGCCTAATGATATTCTTATTTTGAATTTAGAAGATATTTAAGAAACATGAAAAGAAAATCGAGAGATGTTTTTTGTTTTATAAATTGTGTTCCACGGTTTTCACTTAGAAGGAATTGATTTTTGTATGAAACTGTGTATCATTTTTTATATCGGCTTACTTGCGTGCTTGGTTTATTTGAATCAGTGGGTGCATAGTAGTTGAAATTCGACTATAATTAATTTAAATTGTAAGTTGGAACACTATTAAGGTTCTATTATCAAAGACTATACTTCTAAAATCACAGGCACTGGCAGTCTCATAGATAATAAACAAAATACAGAAATAATACATAGTAGTGTGAGTTTTTTTTTAAGGTTTAATGAATTTTGTATGCATGATTAAAAAAATATATTAATATTCTGCACTTTTTCTTTGTATCTAAATATATATGCCTAACTCAAAGGTGACTGACGTAGTGATCTATCAACGCACAACCCAAACCACTGGACGGATCGGGCTGAAATTTGGCATGCAGGTAGATGTTATGACATAAGCATCCGCTAAGAAAGGATTTTAATTAATTCTACCCCCAAAGAGATAAAACAGAGGATGAAAGTTTATATGAAACTTTATCAATTTTAAACCGATCGGGCTGAGACTTTGCATGCATAAAGCTACTATGACGTAGGCATCCCCTAAGAAAGGATTTCGATAAATTCGATCCCTAAGGGGATAAATTAACGCGAGCGAAGCCGCGAGCAAAAGCTAGTAGGTAAAATATAAGTGTGCTAAATTTCATACACCATATCCACTGTACGCGTAATTTTCATAAAAAGCGGTACAAAGATTTTTCTTCACGTGAAAACGTGGATAATACTATATAATAAAATAGATGTATTGTCCACGTGTTCAATCATGCGTGCTTCACCTAAAAGAAAGCAATTTTCCTGTGAAACAGTCCAAGCTCTTTGTTTATGGAACCATTTGAGGTTCTTACATAGATTCAATTTCGGTCCAATTCTCATATGGACGGTCCCAATTCCTATAAAGCAGTATTAATTGCTCTGTGGTTTGTTTTGCTAAATGTCTAGCTTCTATTTCCAAAATGTTTTAAACACTAATAAAAGTAATAGTTTTGTGAATTTGGTATGCAATAAAAAAAAATAGATATTACTGACTCTCACACATACAAAAATAATTTTATTTCATAAAACATTAAAAAAAATGACAACTCAGCACAATGCTGGAAACATGGTTTTCGGCGATGGTTTTCAGTTGGGTCCACAGTACGTATGCACGACATATATAGATTACTATGTATGTATATTGTTGGTATTATATATTTATTTAACATTATGGTTTAAATTAAAAAATATAAACAAAAAATATATATATATAAATATAGTATAAACCTATACTATAATTTATAAGCATAAATATAGGTATATATATATATATATATATATAATACTAGCTGACCCCGCAAACGTTGTGCAGCTATATAAATTATAATTGCTATAAAAAATAGGGGTTGGTGATAGAAGGGTGACAATTTAAGGTTGTATGTATTTTAATGCCATATTATAAAAAAATAAAAATCGACAAAGATTTTTATTACCAAAATATTTTAAAAAATGTTAGGTTCGGACCCTTATCATATAGGATATGAAGAATAGATATTAGCGATTTTCAGACATACTGAATATGCATATAAAATTTCTTAAAAGTCGGTCAAGTCGTTTCGGAGGAGTATGGTAACTAACATTGTAACACGAGAATTTTATGTATAAGACAACAATATTAGATAATAAAATTACCATTAATAGTTACAAAACACCTAAATGATTTCTTATTAAGATTACGAGAATTTAAAAATTCTTAAGCAGTATTTAATTTAAAACAGGTGGCAAGTAATTGTTCCGCCATGAAAGCTGAAAGTATTTTCCATTGTACATAAAAGTTGTGAGATAAAAAGAAATCTTATCTAACAAGGAGTCGCCCCTAAATATTGTATAAGCTTTGAAATTTGGAACACGCCTACAGGCGACGTCGTTAGTATAACATCTCTATATATATATGGAAGAAATTTTCTCTTATTTTCTGTCTGTATTCTGTTTTAACGTTAACATCAAAGGTATAAACTGACAATCATGAAATACGGGCTTATATTTACCACAGATAAATTAAAAGTGAAAGCTTTTATCTTTATCGCGTTCCTTCGCTTAGTTTACTAGACCAAATTTTCTTCTTATTCGCGTCAAACTTTTTCACCTTTTTCCCCACTGTCCAGTTCTATCTATTCGTCGTTTGTGTCCCTCGCTTCGTTTACTAGACCAAATTTGATTTCCTAGACTTTCTTCTTACACACGTCACAATTTTTCATCTTTTTCCCCACTGTCCAGTTCTATCTATTCGTCGCTTGTGTCCTTCACTTTGTTTATTAGACCAAGATTTTCTTCTTACATACGTCACAATTTTTCATCTTTTTCCCCACTGTCCAGTTCTATCTATTCGTCGCTTGTGTCCTTCACTTTGTTTATTAGACCAAGATTTTCTTCTTACATACGTCACAATTTTTCATCTTTTTCCCCACTGTCCAGTTCTATCTATTCGTCGCTTGTGTCCTTCACTTTGTTTATTAGACCAAGATTTTCTTCTTACATACGTCACAATTTTTCATCTTTTTCCACACTGTCCAGTTTTATCTACTCGTCACTTGTGCCCCTCGCTTAATTTACTAAACCAAAATTTTCTTTTTACGTCAAAATTTTTATTTTTTCCCACTGTTGTGTGTCCCTCGCTTCGTTTACTAGACCAAGATTTTCTTCTTAATCGCGTCAAACTTTTTCATCTTTTTCTCCACTGTCTAGTTCTATCTGTTCGTCGCTCGTGTCCATCGCTTCGTTTACTCGACCGAGATTTTCTTCTTTTACACACGTCAAAATTTTTCATCTTTTTATCTACTGTCCAGTTCATTTAGTGAAGAAGTGGCAAGAAACTCAAGTGATGCATTAATTTTCTTTCTCTTTAATAATTCTTTATTTCTAATAAAAAAATCCAAGATAATTCGCACAATGTCATCTAGTTCCAAGTTAAGCTGAGCTTATATTATGGGTACTGGACAACTGATGTAAATATATAATATCTTAAGATTGCCATGTAATCCCAAGTTAAGATTGCTCACGTTATGTATACTAGACAACTGATATAAATACTTAGGTATATTTTTTATAAATATATAATATACGTAGAAAACGCCCAGACCGATACAAATAATCACACTCATGAATACAAAATGTTTGCACCGTACAAGAAATCAAAACTGCGACCATCGGAAGTAAAGCCCTGTGCTAAACTGCTAAACCACCTAGATCTAAGCGAACAGAGAGCGGAAATGATTTCATTTTATCATAGTATAAAGTAAAGATTATTTCTCATATTCCATATGACTCTCATATAATTTTATTTCGAAATTACCAATTTGCCACAACAGAATGTGATATTTTAAATGATCTTATTCCAATGAAACCACAACGGAGTCTAGACGCTGGATATTACGAGTAAGTGTTGTGTGTCGCCTTTTTTCGCCGCCATTGCGTCCGTTGAACTTTTCTTTTTTTAATTTATTTGGTTTTAGATAAAACAATCGTTTATTGTAACGTAATCGACTACCATTGTAGAATTTTATAAAGACGACAGTTTGTGAGTACGAATCGATATATGGATGGATGTTTGTTATTCTTTCACGCAAAAACTACTAAAGGTCTTTTGCTAAAATTTTACAGTAATATAGCTTATACATCAGAATAACATATAGTCTACAAATTTCGTATGGGCGATACTGCGGTCACAACTAGTTAAAAATATATCTTCTTATCATAATTTTAATTTTGTCGTTCTTAAACAAGAGATGTTTGTCTTTACATTGGGTTTGTAGAGTGGATTTGTTAAATTTTCTTTGAATTTAA